GCAGAAACTCTGCCACCATTCCTATAATGTTTGCATAAATTGGCTTCTTTCGCAGTGATGAAAGTCTGCTCTTTATTTCAATTGCCAAACAAAAGCAACAGTTGCAGTGGAAAGGGGGAAATGTCAAAGGTTGCCCCAAGCATTGTGCAAAAGCTTCTGCTATCTCGGACCATGCACTCCTGGAGTTTCTCTAACACACAGCTCTCTAACCTTTCAATCTGTTGTTTTTTAAAATTCTATCTCATCTGTCCACAAACACAGCTGCCAAAACAACATCAGCGTTTATGCGGTTTTGGCTGTGAAACGCAGCCAAAGTGAACTTCGTCTGCCTTACTGATGCAAATGCTGCCAATCAAACATTTAAACACCAAACCATATGTTTGCATCCAGCTTTACCCATGAGGCAGTAGCGGATTTTAAGAGGGGGGTACTTTCTCTGAAGGGTTGATTAGGATTGAAATCTTGCAAAATTTAAGCATACAGAATATAGGTGCAATTGGCTTTATTTATAATGTACATGTAATTAAATTTTCAATAAATACAGAAAATAATGTTTAATTTACATTTAGTTTTCAGTCCAATCTATCTATCTATCTATCTATCTATCTATCTATCTATCTATCTATCTATCTGTCTGTCTGTCTGTCTATCTATCTATCTACAGTATCTATCTATCTATCTATCTATCTATCTATCTATCTATCTATTTCTTTATTTCTGTGGACAATTTGAGCCTCTTCCCAATCCTTTTATACTGGTTGAAAACTAGTAAGTGCAAATGCCCTCAGAGATACTGAAATATGCTCAACAGGACTCACTCTAAGGATGGAAAAAAGTCCCACTTCACCTTTGACCTGCAAAGCCCTATTAATGAGGGGTAAGGAGAAGAGAGCACTCAGGGCTGCAGGTCATACTTCAAAGGCAGAAGTTTGTGGACCTGAAGGGCAGGCCCAGTGAGCAGCACCATCTCAGACCTATCCGCTCCATAACATCTCCACCAGCAGTGGGCAGATGGAATGAATTTCCCAGGCTTTCAGCTGACTGACGTTTCCACAACTAAGGTTCCCGGTTGCGAAGAGTTTAGTCAGAGCAGCAGTGGGATCGAAGAGGACTGGAACATGCGTCAAACACGAGTAGACAAACTGTGTCATGCAGTGTTGAATTTTCATCCCAAAACAGGATCTAAAATTACCACAAAGGACCAACGTGTAATGCGATCCTACAATTTGCAGGACGCTCAAAATAGCGAGGGGCCGGCTGAAGGCTCCTTCCCAACACTACATGTGCAGTAAGGCTTGCATTCTCCTTGCTTGATGTTCTGTCATAAAGGTTTTATGGCATGTTACACCATGGAGAGACGACCCAATAAAAAGCCACTGCAAAGCACAGGCACAAATCCTCCAGAACAAGTATAAAGCATCACCGCATTAGACGTTTATGGATCATTTTTCTAGTTTTCACCAACACCCTGTACGAATTGGGACTGCCCATAAACACCAATGAAGCCCTGTTTCTCAGAATGTTCTTTATTGTACAGAGACCTCAGTCTCTATGTTCAAACCCATAAATTTCAGTCTCCCACATTTCTTAGGACCCTGCTTAAGTCTAGAACCATCATGTTCTATGCTTCTGTTTGGCAAGTGCAATAGGATCAGCTCATGCTCTGCTTAAAACCAGTAGGGGTTCATTTAAGAAAACCACTGTTCTTCATTAGGACACTGTCAGAGCCTTTTATGGATGTTAAAAATGTGTAGTTTCTTTTAGAGTAAAGCATTCGATTGTGAGTAACTGTTCCTTAACTATGCAATAATCAGCCAATGGATTTGACTGAAATCTATTAATCAATGATCAGCCAATGTGATGGATTAGACTGAAATCTCTCAATCAACTTAATCACATAAACTACATGCATGATTTATGAGTATAAACACTGACTAGGAATCATATTGAGAGCAGCAAGCCTTAAATGTCACATCTGTGCCAATGAAAGGTTCCCTCAGGGATATGTATAAGAACTTTCCATATGGAACGAAAGGAACAGTGGAATTTTTATACTGATCGATGGGTCCCTGGTGATGCAGTTTTCACCAAATGCCTTTTAACACTTTGCTCCTAATTATAGTCCTTCAATTGTAATCCCAGCCACCAAGACCATCTGTCAGGTTCTGACCAGTTATCGTCTGCCGCAAAATCAGCTGAGAAAGGGATTTAAAAAAAAATGCATCACCAGGCAACTGGAGCTGGAACTGAACCTGAAGCATTTATTTAATTTCCAGAAGATACCCTGGGGTTGTATTGTATTACTTGACAATATCCAGGTGCTAAGCAAGCACTTCCACCCTCACTAAACATCGTGTAATTCCACCCTTAAACCAGTTTTGTAGTTTTTAATAATGAAACTTATCATTCGGAAGACACGATGGCAGTTAACCTCCTGAGACGTCTGTCACAAGTCGTTAGCTTGGCTCAACATCCTTCCTCAAAGCATATCATTTTCCTGAGGAAGGTATCAGGAAATGGGCCCCGTGTGCCAATGGGATGGCGGATTGAAACCGCTAGCCGTGGAAATCGCCTCGGAAGACGTCGCTTCCAACGATAACAGTGCCCTTGCTGCGGTGCTGCATTCCTGCAGAGCTTCCTGGTTGGGATTTCGGCCTGTGTCACCATCTACTGACCGACCACTTTGTATCCGGCTCTCACAGGCAGGGAAAACTCAACGGGCTGCTTAATCTATCACGTCCCTCTAAAGACGCATGTCGAAGTCCAGCAGCAGAGGCGTAATAACGCAGTGGTGCAGTGGTGCCTCCCCCCTTCAGGACCGGGCTTGTGCCTCCCTCCTAAGGTTAACTGGAGAGTCCAAACTGGCCGTGAATGTGCAGAAACGTGTGTGCGTGTAACCCCCCCCCCACCGCCCGGGTTTGTTCCCTGCATTGCTCCTGTAGACTCTGGACCCCCAAACCCCTGCATATGGGTGAATGGATGTGCTTATGTCACCCATTTTGGACTCATTATTATGAAGGTGCCAGTTATGAAATGTCAGTTAGTCGCACCCAATCTCTCCTGAGCCATGTAGTTTGCATGCACCGTAAGGCTACAACAAGAACCTGCTTAACTGTGTTAGAACTACCTTGATATGATTATAGTCAATAAATCTGGTCAATAAATATCCCCTTTCAAACAGCAATCAAATGTCTGTATCAAAAGTTGAATGAAATGCTGAATTCCAGTGACCGTTATGTAATGGAATTAGAATGATTGCTACTGTATGAGTTCTGCAGCAATAAGACTATAAAATACTGCAGGTTTGGGCCCATTAGCATGCATTACATTCCCGCCATGTTCTTAGACGAGTTCAGTTCTTCTTAGTGTGAATCACGCTAGATGTTGCACGTGAAACCCATATTGCACACACTTTGTGCTAAATTTAGTGTTGCTTGCCAAGTTTTCACAAGTGTGGATAGACACCTAAGGGTGAAAGGGCCATTCCTAACAGGTTTCAGGTTCTCGAATCCCCAGAAGTATGACCTCTGTGAAAGTCAAGCATAATGACATGTCACAGTTCAGCAGGTCGGGCTAGAGAAGAGGTCGGAGAGCCCTAGCAACCTGGTCCCAGCTGCAGTGGTCAACACGTGCATGCGAACTGCTTTGTTGACAGGCGCACAAATGCCTCATTGTTCTACTCCTCTGCCACCCCAAAGCCGCATTGCTTCCTCGAGGCTCCTATGGCAGTTCAGCCCTGTTTCCGATGGTGCTTAGCTGGCTTCAGAGTTTCATAAGTGCCCCGTAAAAGTTCAATCTGACTCATTTGGCATGACAGCCATTCTCTGCACCCCAGTCAGGGCAAGGCCAGCGCTGATCAATATTGGACTGGCTCAGCTCCGACTGGAATACAACAATAGTCCTACAGATGTAAAACTTGGGAATTTACTCCATGATATAAAGCAGCGTGGAAATCTGTGGTTCTCCTCTCTTGCTGGTAATGAATAGGGAGACGCCAGCTGGAGGCCAGCTTGGCTTTAGAGTGCTTCAGAAGTGCTTGTGGAATGAGAAATCACTAAACCGATACCAGAACAGTATTGTAACAGTGAACACAATACATCTGTTATGATGTGCTGTCACTGCCCTAAGTGTCTCTTATTCTCAAGCGATGTTGCCAGAATGTTCCTCGGGGTTTTCTAAGGCACATGTGAGATTGGCCTGATTTCTGCCATTCCTCCAATGACACACAGCTGTCCACATTTTCTGACACTGGGTTAAGTTAAAATGCGACAGCCTGGACTACAAAGACACAGATTTTTCATAAGTATTGTTCTACAAGCTTATCAGACTGGGATTTGTGGGTTTCTCTCACTTTAGCTATATTCATCCCAAATAGGGCTGCAAGGGGAAGGCATCATGGCATACACTGCACAGGAGTGGACAGGACCAGGATATGTGGAAGGCATCATGGCATACACTGGATAGGGGTGGACAGGACCAGGATATGTGGAAGGCATCATGACCAACACTGGATAGGGGTGGACAGGACCAGGATATGTGGAAGGCATCATGGCATACACTGCACAGGAGTGGACAGGACCAGGATATGTGGAAGGCATCATGACCAACACTGGACAGGGGTGGACAGGACCAGGATATGTGGAAGGCATCATGGCATACACTGCACAGGAGTGGACAGGACCAGGATATGTGGCAGGCATCATGACCAACACTGGATAGGGGTGTACAGGACCAAGATATGTGGAAGGCATCATGACCAACACTGGAAAGGGGTGTACAGGACCAGGATATGTGGAAGGTATCATGACCAACACTGGATAAGGGTGTACAGGACCAGGATATGTGGAAGGCATCATGGTATACACTGGACAGGGGTTTACAGGACCAGGATATGTTTAAGGCATCATGGTATACACTGGATAAGGGTGGACAGGACCAGGATATTAGGGAAAGCTGTGAGGAATGAGCATTAAGGGGCGTGACAAATGACGGGGTCTTACCCGTGAACAGCTTGGTTACGGCTCTGTTCTGGCGCCGGGCAGAGCAGATGAGTAGGAGCCAGGGAGGGAGCAGTTGATGAAGGGTACCCAGGAGCTCGGCGATGGTGTAGGGGGACCCTGTGGCAGAGTGCTGGTCCACCTCACCTAGTGGGCTGCCTTCATCCACCGAGTCCACCAGGATGAAGACAGGCTGTGGGGGAGGATCCAGAGCCAGGAGCGGCAGCACCACACACCTGGGGGGAGGCAGATGGGGGCAATCTTACCCAAGCTGGAGCAAAGCCGGACGTCACACTAACATTTAGGGCCCGAAATGGGAAATCAAATACCGCTTCAAACAGCACAGGCATGCGATCTTTCAAATCAAAAACTTCTCCCAACTCATTCCATATCATCATTTCGACAATTTCTTAGAGAGTTACAAAGTGCGGCTAATTACACTGTATTTCAACTTCAAGTATAATTTTTTGATCCATCGTATAGTTATACCAACACTTGGGCTAATTAAGTGACAACAACCAGCTGAAACCAATAAATAAACCAATAATTAGCACATGTAGGTTTGAGTTTGGTCTAACATCACAGACTTACAGGCTTATTACAAGATTATTTATAAAAAGCTATTTCGCCCAAAGCTATATTACCACAGCAAAGCTTTTCATGGTTAATTTCACATAACCAAATGAACTTAAAAAATCCTCATAAAACAGTCCACAACCCTGACTAGGACAAAAATTCACTTTGATGGTGGGATCGATGGAGTGTTACACAATATCTTTTTCATTTTAGGCTGTTTTCTAATGATAAGAATATATTCAATATCTTTTAATTTTGCACATTTGCACAGTGGTTAAAGCTATGCTTTTAGCACCGAGGCAGAAACCTCTTAGAGACACACGCACACCCAGGACCAGCAGTGCCTATGCCTGGGTATTAGCTTAGCACTGGAGGAGATGTGCAGGGACACCAGAATGCAAACAAAAGCCCCCACGCCGTCTGACACCGCGCTCGAAGTCCAGCACAATCTGTTCCCCACCTCAGCCCAAGGTTCGTCTTTCTAATGCGCTGATTCCCTGCCTCGTTTGCGCACCTTGTAGGCGTTTGGCACAATGGCAAGCAGAATGTCAACTGAGAGAGTCCCTCCAGGATCTTCTGCCTAAATTATGTCAGTTCCTGGACAGCAGGCTGCTAATTGGACATTTTGAGATGAGCCTCTCAGGTGTGTTTTTGGAGAGTTGCTTCGAGCAGCGTGCAGCAACTCGAGACGATGTCAGCTTGTAAACAAATTCTAATTAGTAGATATAAAGGCCGGAGTTCTGCGCAGAGAACAGAAACACATGCATATTCCATAATATTAGTTAAAATAACAAAAAACATTCCCTTTGGGTTTTAATTCCCCCCTATCCATTAAGAAAAATGTCAAAGTTGTACTGGATCAAAATGCTTATTCAGTCTCTTCTCAGTCCCATAAAGAGACATAATTTACTCCACTTCATACTAAAAGGTGCTGCAGGGTGACGGAGCGACTTGTTGTAGCACCTAGATCAATTCTGACTGGGGTGTCAGTTTAAGGTGCTGGCAAGCGGCGAGTCAGAAAAAGCAACTGAAACCATGTTTTCTGGAAAGCTACAGGTTTAAGGTGAGGTTAGGGTAAATCATATTCTCGATTCACACCGCTATGCCATCTCATTCTAGGGCTGAATCTCGATTCACATCCCTATGCCATCTCAGTCTAGGGCTGAATCTCGGTTCACACCCAATGCCATCTCATTCTAGGGCTGAATCTCGATTCACACCCAATGCCATCTCATTCTAGGGCTGAATCTCGATTCACACCCCATGCCATCTCATTCTAGGGCTGAATCTCGATTCACACCCCATGTCATCTCATTCTTACATGACAGTGATTCTGCCATGTTTGCAGTAGCTGAGAGATCTGTTGCATCAAACCAAGAACTCTCCCTTTTCTCCCTAAGCTGTACCAATAGATGACAGGACTGCTTTACACCACGTGAAGGGAAGAGGAAGCAGAAAAACAAGAGATATAGAGCAGAAGAGGTTTACATTTATGCTCAGCATTTGTTATATTTGAATGAGCTGTTTGTTAAAAATCAGGTGTATGCTCTTTCTGCTCTGCAAAGTTGATGTGAGTCTCATTTCAGTAATGATTATACTGTTAGTGTTGCATGATGCGCAAACGTTGACCGATACTCATATTTTTATCTAATATCGTCGCCACCAACATGGGGGGGGAGGGGGGGTCGCCAATCGTGAAACTTGCCAAGATTGCCACTGCAGATTAGTGGAATGGCGTTTTTTTATTCTGTGGAAAACGAATGATCGATCTGCAGGCAAGATTTAATTATGAATCATAAACATGTCACCGGCCGGTACTTTGAGACCTCTTACTTAAGTGATGATTAATCCAATGAAACCCATCATCCTTCATGCCAAAAAAAGGATGAATGCAATCTTATTCATTATTTCAGTTGTTGTCTCTTTAGCTCTGCCACTGTTAACTTTGAATATTGATAAAATGTAAATATCGGCTACAGATATTGGCTAAGACTGACATATCAGACTGACGCCGATATCTTTATATTTAATAAATATCAGGTGATACTTTTATGTTAACAGATGTATCATGCAAGGCTGCACTTTCACAGACAATGTGCAATGCAAAAAAAATTTATATAAGAAAGACAGAAATACACACCTCAAGAAAATCACAACTTTAATTCTGAGTGAAAAAGCTGGTGGTTCATATTTTACCCAGAATTGTTCAGCCCGAGTATATAGCCAGAGAACCTTCCAGAAGCGGAGAATGCTGGGATTGTGAACGGCTAACAGAATGGATTGGGGCTCTCTGTCAAAGGCAGAACTGGAGACGCGTTGGGGGAATGTGTGAGGGCTGACAAATGCAGCAAGCCAGACTCCATTACCTCTAGGTTGCCTGGAAGACAAGAAAAATATCCCCGTCTCCAAGGAAAACTGCCACAGTGCCTTCTGTAAGGCCGTACAAAACTGACTCACTGCTTACCTTCTGCATGCAGTTACAGATAATTAAGAGTATTCTTGGATATGGCAGTGGTATGACTTATAACTCCTGATGTATCTATTAAGTTCAGCTGCAAGAACCATTTAGTGCGAAAACGGATGAACAGACTCCCATATGTGTGTAAGCAGGCTCCACAAGTTTATTTTTCTTTTCCTGTCTACCTACCATGCAAGGAAAGCTCAGTAGCGGTGGGAACAGAAGCAGACGATATGTTTTAACTTGGTACCTAGCTAGCTATCCCGTGGCCAAAACATCTGCCAGCCATATTTTTTAAAAAAGAAAAATTGTTGCAGATTGATCCAGTATATTCTGCATACACGGCTCTCATTCTGATGCTAACGATGTCGAATAACGCTTGTAAGAGCAGGACTCCGATCAGTGAATCCTAAGTGAAGCTTCTCCTGAGGTCCTTCACCTGTGAGGCCCGAACTGGCCAGAGTCTCTGAGACAGCATTAGATCTGAGGAATGGTAAAGGGCAGAAGAGACCAGATGTGAAGGTCACCTGTTGAATTACACACTATAGAAATCGTTATGAAAAGACATTACGTCCTTCATCAGGGGAAGTCTTTACCCCTTTGCACAGTTGGTTATTTTTAGTGGAGTAAGCGAGTGGGCACAGTGACTCACTGGGAAGCACTGGAGGGCTATACATCCCCCTGTTTCCTCCAGTTAAACCAGTTTTCCCTGACAGTTAAAACCATGCCACAAGGCAAATTGGTGTCACTAAATTTCCCACAGTGTGTGTGTGTCCTGTGATGCACTGGCATCCTCTCCAGGATCCCCAGCCTCGGGCTCTGCACCTCCTACGGCAGCCTCGCCATAACCCTGGAAAGTTTAGGAACTTCTGTAAAAAGGATGGAGTGCTGTATGGGCAGTCTGGGAGAGTGAGGCTTTTGCTGCAGTTAGAACTGTATGAGTTCAGGTCACAAGTTCATGTCTTTTAAGCACTCCACCACAGCAGGACTATGCCCTCCTTAAAATAACCCCAAATGAACCCTCTACCATAGCTCAGTGCCTTTTTAGTACCTGTGACGTAATGCTAAACTGGAAAAATTACAAGAAAACAAGCAGTACTGACAATGCACAAAAGAGCCACGACTCGTATCTGCACAATGCTGAGCTCCATCTATGACTGATGTCAGCAGCTACTCAGGAATAACCGCAATAATGGAGTGACCATGTTAGCATTAGCACCTCATCATTTATACAGGCCGATATTTAGCCTCTACACCAGTCATCCCAGTGTTACCATTAACAGTTTGATGTCTGTAATGCCTATACTCGAAACGTATGTCTTGGAACATGTTTAGTCTTTGCTTCTGATAATTTGCATCTTTTTCATTTGTTGTGCTGTCACGTTTAAAAGGATTAACGTGTTTTATCGATTAAGTCCCTAGTCATAAGTTTCACTAAAACAGTGCATTCTGGGGTTCTGTTGCTGCTCCCAGCTATCAGTGTATGTAGTGTGGGTTCTGTTGCTGCTCCCAGCTATCAGTGTATGGAGTGTGGGTTCTGTTGCTGCTCCCAGCTGTCAGTGTAAGGAGTGTGGGTTCTGTTGCTGCTCCCAGCTGTCAGTGTATGGAGTGTGGGTTCTGTTGCTGCTCAACAGATGCTTCCTGGATGCTTCGGCTTCCGGCCACAGCCCAGTAATGTGTGGTTGGGTAAATTGTCAGCTGTATATCACCATGTGCCTAGTAATGTACTACCGTCTTGTACAGTATAAAGAGTTCCCTGTGCTTTCTGTTCTGAAATTGCAGTGTGCAAGAGGCTTGGGAAAATATATTATAATAGATAATTATTATATTATACTGGACATCAAAATGTAAAAGCAGGAATAAGAGCTACAAAAGGGCTTAAAAATGCAGCATTTCAGAAGCTGTGATGTATTGTCTTGCCTCCTTGCATCTATCTTTGCATCCACCATTGATATATATATCGGTTAGGGGTCTTCAGGAACATTTGTATCCATCTATGACAATTTTCAATAGATAATCTAGGTTTCTCCATCACTAAATTATATGAAAACTGACAGCTGAATATGTGGACGTATCATTCATTTTTGAGCTGTGCTGAAGTGTGTTTGTGTATATGCACACATACACTAGCACTGGTATATTTCTAACATCAAATATCTCAACAAGACAAAAAAATACTACATTTAACTGACATTCTGTTAACAAGATGTTACACCACTGCAAAAAGGCTGTGAAATCCTTTAATCATAAATCAAAGGCAGATGCGCTGCATGAATAACAGTCAGGTTTCAACAACTTCATCATCAGGAAGATTATGGTGCTTCAGTTATCGAAATCAACAAAAAAATTGGCACTGAGAGGATTTTTTTTTCCAATACCAAAGACAATGCAGTCTGTGTCTGTGAAGGACACAATGCTGAGGACGTTGACCCTGCTGGTTTGCATCTCTAAGGGAAGTGATCATTTCTGCAGATTCATAATGCTGCCAGCAGAGTCTTGTCTGAACTGATGAGGAAAATCGTGTTTCGCTCTATAACAGCGACCTTCCAACTTAAATATACCCACTGCTGTCCACTATATCTAACCAGGAACTCACTTTCCAAGAGGTGCTACATCAACAAACTAAAATAACTCCATTTGTTTAATATATTGTGCCATTGTATTAAATATAATTGCAGAATATTACCAAATTCATGCACAACATATTTTTAAAAGGGTAATTAATATGATATAAAATTCAGGTAAATGCCAGACAAGTGAGAAGTAGCAGCAATCCTTCACACAACTGTTAGTGGCCCAGATTCTGGAAGGAAATCGCCCTGCCGTGGACCAACGATTCCTAGTGCAATCTGCTTCACTGAGTTTTCAGCTACCTAAATGTTTAAAAGGATCGAAATCAATTAATCACATTTAACTTTTAGTTATTAATCAGACAAACCCAATTTATACTGTATTTAAAGGTGAGAATATTCATTACATTATATGCATCTGAATATGTGCAAAAATATAGCTCACTTTTCTATCGGAAGCAACCTTTTGCATACATGATTACCTAACAGGTACAAATGAAGTAGAATTCTGGGCACATTAATGCCATTTAAGCCATTAACATTTGCTGAATTACATATTCAATATCTCTGAATAGTGACTGCTTCATTTCCCTTTGAGATCAGACACGCCATTGTCTTTCAGTGTGTGCCTAAGCCTTATACATATTTCAGAACTAATTAAACTGATGCTTGAAAAAGCAAATTAACTTGATATTACAAATGTGCTAAAAACTATTTCAAATCATTTTGGTATCACACTGAATTGGTTGGGAAAATATGTTACAGGGATGTGCTCAGACTACAAAACTTTAACATCATCATCCGTATATTGCATATAAAATGTGTAAGTTATAATACAATAAATAAATAAATAAATAAATAAAATTCTAATAATAATAACAATAAAACATTTAATCAGAAATAAACCATTCACTCACAGGAAGCTCCAAGATGCTGGGGAACATGGAAAACACCATCACTTCTCAGATCTACTGTTCTGTTTTCACTTTGGCTACAGGCCAAACTGAGATATGCACGTGTCACTCCAGAACACCCGCTGCCTCTCCCCAAGATAAGAGCACCTGTTTAAAACGTAAGCCAAATACAGAAATAACAGAATTTTATGCATCACATTCATGCTTGGGTTCAGGCTCGTGCTTGACTTTGGGTTCAGGTTCGTGTTTGACTTTGGGTTCAGGTTCGTGTTTGACTTTGGGTTCAGGGTCGTGTTTGACTTTGGGTTCAGGCTCGTGCTTGACTTTGAGTTCAGGCTCGTGTTTGACTTTGGGTTTTCTGTACAGGACTATGCTCCAGCTAGTCTCAGGGTATAGACCTGGATTTAATAAGTCATTGTGTTTGGGAATCACACTGGCCTGCTGGTTATCACTAAGATCACATGCACACATGCATCCTATGAACCTCAGGACACCGTGGCACACATTCGTCTACCAGACAATCAATCGGTTTATAGAAACCAGACATTCCTGGAATAATCAGCATCCCTCCTCATGGAACTGATTTTCCACCAAACTGTCTTTAATAATCTTCTTCCCTAAAGACCTGGCAAGGGCTGAGTAAGCTGACACTTTGTAGTTTGGGTTTGTTTACTGTTTTCACTTTGCCTAAGTAGGCTCCAATGTAGGCATGGGAACGCTGTCATGAGTCACACAAGTGACCACAGGGGGACACGGTCCTTCTTCATGTGTGTCATACACCAGCTCTCTTCTCCAAGGGCACTCTGAGGTGACATCCATGGAGGACACATGCCCACGCACAGATTTCTTGTTTTTGACGACGTTACATGACTCAGTTATGTGCCAACATGAAGGTCCAAAATCCCAAAAAAAATCATAAAGTCACTGGCAGATGGATGGAAACAGCCTGTCAACCATCAATCCTAAGGAACATTCCAGTGGATATCCATGCCATACAATATGCCCACGGTAGGGTGGCAGAAAGCATTGTGGGTGACACATGCGCCAAAGACTGATCAATTCATTCGCCAAAGGCGAAAAGCTTCACTGCATATTAATACCTCCCGTAACTGCTTTACTCAAAGCATTTGGAAGAAGAATTTATCATCTAAAAACTCCATTTCAGCGTGACTGCAAAGAACAGCCAAAGGGGTTTATACACTTGAGTAGATTTGCCTCATGATTCACTCCTCTATGGCTCTGATTTCTGAGGGCCTCACACTGACAGATGTATCGTCTAAAGAGACCCGATCTGGAAACACACATAATACCAAGATGCAAAGAACAATCTGGTTCTTGCTTAATGGTCAACTGTGAAGGCAAGAGTACGGCAGGCTGCAACGGTCTGGACTGTTAATGCTACTTGTGAATTCTTGGCCCTGTAAATTCTGCATTTGTGACACAACACAGTTATATTCCGAGAAGATATGTTGAGATGTAAATACAAGCATCTCCATGAGAAAAATAATATTTTAATTCTTTTCCCTTTAGTGTTGAACTAATTTGCTCATCTGGTAGAGGAAATTATGATTCCCAATTTGTTCCATAAACAGTTGTGTTTTAATTAATCTGATCATTTCTACAGGAAGTAAATAACGATGTGGTGATTTTCAAAACCAGTTAATCATAAACAATTTCCATTCTTTCCCATTTTGAAGGCACTTGTTCCAATTAATTTTGTCAAAGTACGGATGGAGGTCCTCTAACCCAGGCTAGTTGAAGAAAAATCCAAAGCACAAGAGGACTGACTCTTATAAAGGAAACCTTTCCTTCCCGTTTCAAATCGAGGAGCCAGCTTTTAGTGTCCCGTGCAGGCAGCCAAGAGGAAATAAAATGACTTTGACAGCAGAGATATCTCCAATCTGATAATCAGGGGAGACAGAAAATGATCTGTTTACAGTGATAGCTATGGAAGCCCCCCCGCCCAGCAAGGTGATAGACCCATCTTCAGAGCAGAAATATTTCTCTAACAAACGCAAACCCTGATCGTCTGCTGATAGTGCAGCCTGCCAAAGCTGTCTCTCAGAGCTCCAGTGACTAACTGCGAGGGGAGCTCCAGTGAAAACAAACCTCATTGTTCCACAGCACTCAGGCGGGGCTGATATCTGCCTTCACTTGGTTTTCCATTTTTTCTCTTTTAAACAGTCTTTTGGGTAAAGTTCCGAGTGCAATAACCCCGAGAAAACACTTAACCTCGGATTCAAGCCACAGGATGGATCGAACCCTGGTGCGTGTTTCGTGACACTTGTGAGAGGGAGGATGCGTTTGGCAATCGGAGAAGCCCACTGGTAACCCTAACACAACACAATTTGCCCGCCCCCTGTAGATGGCCAACCCCCCCCCCACCCCCTGCCTTTTCCAGATTTTCATCTTACTAGGCGTTTGACCCACTTCTTTCCGGCGTTCGCCAAAGACAGATGGACCAACACGCGGGCGTGTTTGGGTTCGACACTGCGGACGCTGTCGGGTTAAATTCCGAGACCAGCTGTTCCAGTGATCCGGTGTTACCAACCATCTTTCAATAGCTACCCATTTGGAAGAAGTGCAAAGATGGAGGGTGTTATCCAAGCTTACTTCATTTTGAGCAAAGACATCAATTACTTCAAACACCAGCTTAATTAAACAGATACCTATATTAATGGATAATGAAGCCCGACAGCTGAAATAGTGCCATCACGTCCGATGGGGTCAGCGCAGGCCTACCTCTTAAAGGCTTCGGCGGGGTTCCGCAGGTCTACCTCTTAAAGGCGGGGTTCCGCAGGCCTACCTCTTAAAGGCGGGGTTTCGCAGGCCTACCTCTTAAAGGCTTCGGCGGGGTTCCGCAGGCCTACCTCTTAAAGGCGGGGTTCCGCAGGCCTACCTCTTAAAGGCTTCGGCGGGGTTCCGCAGGCCTACCTCTTAAAGGCTTCGGTGGGGTTCCTCTCGCACTCTCCGGGCTGTAGTGCGCTCTGTGCCCCCAGGTCCTGCAACTTCTCCTCGTAGCCCCGCAGCAGCCCACTACGGCTGATCTGGGCCACCAGGCCACGCACGAAGCGGCCCGCGCACAGCGTGTCCGAGTCCTCCGCCCGGCAGAAGTGGAAGGCCAGGCTCTGGCGGTGCAGGCCGCGGTGGGTTCCCTGGGCCGAGCTGGGCCACAGCAGTTCCGTGCACAAAGCTGTCTTCCCGCTGCCCGGTCCACCCACCAGTAACACCCCGGAGGGGACGCCCTTCCCCGGGCCGACCCCATCGCCGGACTGAGGTACGGAGCTCAGCCCCAGGGACCCGCCGGCCTTCTCCTGCAAGCAGTGCTGCAGTTTATGGAATATCCACTCCCTGCAGTAAAAGCGCTTCCCCTGTAACAAGCTTGTCTGGGCCATGCTGAAGATCTGCCTTTCCAGCCACTCCTCATGAGGCTCTCAGCATCCTTGATGCTGTAGTTCCAAGGCTGTCCCGCTTCAGGCTCGCATCTCTACCCAGTCACCGTCTCACACTCACTCCACACTCCTTCACGGTGCCCTGTCCACCGTATGTCCAGCTGTATGGCCAGAAGCTTAACGATGCAAATTAATACATCGAAAGGTTAAAAACAAGATGTTTTTCAGTATTTTGGGTAACGCAGGGAATGTCTTCTTGTAAAACAACATTAAAATGGCTCCATTTATGGGCTTTTAATGTCTTCCAGGTATCAGAATTATCTGTAGATGAAGTGACGTCCGCCTTTAACGTAACGGTCCACACATTTTGAGCAGATGCCGCGGATTTCGGGTATTACATTCATGCAGCAGATGTTTCACCCTGCTATACTCCGCATGGAGAGAGAAGCCGCCCGCATTTCGGGCTCCTTCCCGAAGCGGAGTCTGTGGAACATGAGCCGTCTTGGGCTCCTTCTCCGCCGGGGATTTCAACTTCACTGCAGGCAAGAAAAACGCACAAACTCCAAGTCAAACACAGCAGCTGCGGAGACAAGTATCTAAACTGGAAACTTTAATTGAATCTAATTTTATATCTCAGAACATAAATGCCGAAGACGTGGATTAAACTGCGATTGCGGATACCGGTCATTCACATGGTACCCCTCGCTGTTATATTCTGATATATATTCTCCCCCTACTCTTTGCACCATTAGCTGACCGAGTCCCGTCATGTATGAGACACTACCTTTAAACTATGATTTCTTATTTATTATTATCACTAAATATATACAAGCATCAAAACGGCTTGCGGTGTGTTTATTTGTTCGTAATCATCCCAACGTTCAGTTACGAGTAGTACTGCTTATGCAGTAACTCACAATAATTCCTGGTTTAACAATAATTTATATCAAGCGTTATATTTCAAAAATCGATACCGATCACCCACAGTATCGTATTTGCATAAGAAATATTTACATTTAATATAAAAACGTCCTTCCAAACGACATTAAACGAAAAATGATACTCCGTGGACGCGGATACGATGCATGGCAGATACGCTACGTTACGTTTCATAATGTCAAAACTCACTTGCATATAATTATAACAGCATAAACAACTATAGAGAGCGGAGAGTCGCAAGTACAAAAAAAGATAGTTCTGTCAGCTATTCCTCTCGCTAAAACATTAATATTCGTAATATTATAAGAATTATTTCTTTATGTTGTTTTTTTCCTGTTAAAATGTTTAAGTGGGCTCACCTCCAGACTGTTTTTCCCTTTTAATTCTTATCTTTAAACGCGCACTGTAATCTCTAGTTGCAGCCAGGCGTATTTCTATAGGGCTGTCCGTCGCTGTCAGTCCCCTTTGATCGGAGTTGCAGAAGCAGCCTCTCCGTTCCCGATCCCCCGCTCTTCTCTTGCTTTCTCCCCGCAGATCCGGCCGACACCCGGCACAGCCTCCGCACTGACTCGCTTCTCCTCCTCCGGTCCTTCAAAGCGGCCCCTCTGCCCACAGAGGCGAAGCGTATCGGACGCCGGGCACGACGGGACTTCGAGTCCCGCACGGCGCCCGTCCCCTTCCGCGATAATCGCCTGTATATTACCGCCGATTAGTGCTCAGCGCCGCTTTCTGGCACCTCTGCTCGGGCTGTTTGCCATCTCCGGGCTCACGGCAAAAACCAGACCTACTCCACTGACCATTATTTACCGCAGTAACAGTTACCGCGGCATAAAAAATGAGTGCTTTAAAAACTTTATAGGAAATAAGGTATAAGTTCCTTTTAAATTAGAATTATATTGCTGCGATATTAACCTTTGGACTATAATTACGATTTATGATGATTATTTGTTTGTTTGTTTTATATATCAGACTATTTGACATGCTTGGTTGAAAATGTTGTGCAAAAAGTACAACAAATCTGAGGGGGAAAAAGTATTAAGATTTTCAGTGTCACCCCTGTGTATCAGCCGGCTGTATTAAGACATCCTGGCAAAATGATGCCGTCCTTAATGTCCTATTTGATTAATTTGTTCACATATATTATAACATTTGATGGAGAAAGACATTATTAATGCCTTATAGGTCTAACGCTTTCTGTCGGTAGTGGATGCTGGCGAGGGTACGAGGCATTCACACATATTACTCAGCTGAAATTGACATGTACTGTAGCAAAAGCATTGAATATAAAATCATTGCCTGTCCCTAAGATAACATCTATTACAGCTATGAATGCAGCAGTCAGACAGGCAGCGGAAGATCCCTGTCCTATGACTCGTGCTTCCAAGGTGCTGGTCCAATCAGAGCGCTTGAGACTATGACCCACTTATTACACACTGCTATTTAAAGTTTAGTTATGCCACACTTAAGTATTATTAAGTGGAACACCCCCTGTCTTGGATTTGTTTAGAAGATAAATCGTCCATCATAAATTATGTCCATCAGCTATTTTCGGTACAGAGAACAGCTTTGCTCTGCTAATATAGGGTGATGTTACTTAACATATTATGACCCAGTGAAATATGTTTTGACCCAGTAGCTGGTTCCGACATATGTAAGTCAGAAGCTGTAGAATGAAATGGGAAGTGAGTCTGCCAGAACACTTCACTCTTCGCCTGTTGTTTGACCTACTAATTAGAGCCAGGAGGATTACAGTAATTATAACACACACGTGACTTCTGTGTTACTGCATTGAGAACGTGGTTTGATTCTAAGTGATCCACTGCTATGGGCGGTGGCGGGGGGGAATTAGCCATCTAAAAATAATTGTGCCTACATGTTTACGGGGCAGCATGTGGCTCAGTGGGCTAAAGTCTGTGTGCTTATAATCAGGAGGTCATCGGTTCAAACCCAGCCTCAGCATGTCTGCAGCCCATAACCCCCAGTTTTCTGGTGGCTGCCCTTCATGGACAACTTACTCTACAAAGAGCAAGTTGAGGGAGGCATAGAGACAATTTCCCCACAGGGATCAATATAGTATCAATTAGTATTTCAGGAAAAAAAATAACAGAAGAACAGATTAGAAAATATTGCATAATTTAACCTTCTTATTTTGTTGTTGCGCAATCATTTCTGTGGGGTGAACATACATCCACTTGATTGTGTAACAAAGAGCTGGCGATTAGATTTACAGCCAGAAATGGGCCGTATGCAATGTTCATATGCAACTTTCTTAGCAGTTTGAAGATACTCAAAGCACAAAATAACAGCAGAATAAGCACAATTCGAAGAAATAGCAAATCAAATAATAACAATAATAATAATAATTAAACTGCCTGTTCAAAACAACTACCCTGATTCATCATTTTACGGCTCATTTCCAAAACAGTGCATCTAGGGCAGGGGACTCCAATCTTATCCGCAAAGGGCCGGTGTGTATGCGGGTGTGTAAGTTTAAATTATGCAATATTTTCTAATCTGTTCTTCTGTTATTTTTTTTCCTGAAATAATAATTGATACTATATTGATCCCTGTGGGGAAATTGTCTCTATGCCTCTCTCAACTTGCTCTTTGTAGAGTAAGTTGTCCATGATTTGTAAACTACCATTTCAATTAAAGGAACCTGGATTTCACTTAAGCACTGAGTTCTTGGTGTGTGCTGATTGGTCAGTCTCCTATAACATCCTATAATGCTAATGTGAAACTGCTGGATGAGTCTTTCAGTCAAGGAAACAAATCAGTCAAAGCGCAAGAGGAACTGAACTATTTAGTTGAGCAGAGGAGCCTTTCAGGTTTAAAGTAGCTCATAGCGTCCCTCCTGACATGGATGAAGTGGTCATGAAGGTGCATCTTAGCATGCAAATAAAGGGGTTAGGGTCAGAAAACTGAAATTTGAAATTGGTATTTAGTAAGGACTTAAGGTAGAGCAGCCTTAAGGATTCATGTTTCCATCCATCTTCCAAGTGCTTTTCTGTCCAGGGTCATAGAAGCATCCTAGCTTATCCTAGACAGCATACAGCACAAGGTTATGTTATAAAGCCCCACATGCACAAAACATGACAGTTGCCTGCTCATTCAATGAAAGAGACTGATGGGGTGAATCAAGGTAAAAGAAGCAGTTTCCCCTTAGAAATCTTTATCAAAGAATGCAGAGTCTCTGCCATGGCTCCATGTGTGTGGAGTTTGCATGTTCTCCCCGTGTCATTGTGGGGTTTCATCTGGGTTCCTCCAGTGTCCCCCCACAGTCCCAGAACATGCTGAGGCTAATTGGAGTTACCAAATAGCCCATAGGTCTGCTGAGTTTTGCAAGCTCAGTAGAGAGTCAGTAGAGAATCGCCCATCACCCAAAGGGCAGCCGATCAACTCAACAGGAATATGCATTGAAGACAGGTTGGGCCACCGTCAGGACACTTCACAGACCTTGCCGAGTCCGTGTCGTGATGAACTGAGGCTATTCTGAGGGGAAAAGCAAGCTGTCCCTCCTAATCTTTCGTGCGCTACACATCGTTTTTAACAAACAGCAGGATTCCGTTTAGGCGTTACAAATAAATATCTGCCGCTTCATAGTATCATTTGTTCTGGATGATTTTACGTCTTTTGCTATAGTCTTTTGTTATTTTAGAACATTTCTGTTGCTTTAACTGACTGGCTGTCTGTAAATTTTTCCTCTATAATGAAATGCAATCAATGATACGAAATGTGGCATTCTCAATCACCTGGTTTGTTTCCAAAAAATCTGAATAATGGGTTGGTGTTTTTGTTTGAATCTATGACCTCCCAGAAATAATTACAGGTTTATCCAATTTAATATCAGAGCTCATCTCTGTTGGATGTGAACCAATCAGATTTTTTCCTCACCCTTAATGCACATCTTTGTCAGGAACGGGGGTGTCAGGAACGGGGGTGTCTCTCTTGGCAGATCTGCAGCTTGATAAATATTTGATGTAAACCATTATTATTAGGTGACTGGACCAAAATCTAGTTTAATAAACAACATATACATTCTTTCCCTGCTGACGTCCTTGCCAGCTGGAACCTGCCAGAAGTTCCTCGTAGGACCTTCTGACCCTTCTGAGAAAAAAACATCTTTTTTCAACTGACTGTCAAGCAGCAATGATGTTCACTGCACTCTCTACCACAGATACGCTAAAAAAGAGACCAAAGAACAGAAACGAATGAATAGGCTAATGATTTTAGCGTCTATGCATGGGAAATACTCTTAGTTTAGGGTTGTCTAGATGTTTATAATGGCAAATAATTTGTAGTGAACCATTTAAAGGAGTTTGCGTCCGATACTGATGGTGATTACGACATACAAGTGAAGCACTACTTAAATAGACCTAATCAGCCATCCACGCTTGTAATAAAGTCAAGTTAAGATGTCGTGTTTGTGCATTGTTTCAGAGTATTTATGGACTTATTTACATTATTAACTTAAAAGGCCCATTTCTCATTTGGCAGAGTGCACACTGCCAGCTCCCCTCAGTGGCTTGACAGGGAGCCGAACCAGGCAAGCAGACGAAGCAAATTTGGATAATTGATGCAATTTTCTTGCTGCCTGCCGAATGATGAGGACTGGTCACATCTCCGAGCATGGAGCGAAATAGACCCGGAGGGTTCTGGAAATGGTTCCGTCATCATAGCCCTTTTGTTAGCACGTATGTAATAGGTAGCGGCATTCAGCCATGTGCGGAATGTGCGGATAGACCGCGCACTTCGGGGACGAGGAGAACTCGGTCCAATTGATAGTCAAATGTCCTAATGGCATTGAGTCACAGAATCGTTCGCTCACCATCCCTGTACGCAGAAAAAACTTACTGGGAAAATTACGTCAATTCACCTTTTGTGCATCGCATTTGGATGAAGCTTTTATCTCCAAATAAATAAAAAAATAAATAAATATCATTTATTTATACAATTGGGTATTTAACTGAGTCTGTTTCATGAGGGTAGTGTTGCAGAACTCTCACGGGGCTTGAACCGGAAACCTTTGGAAGTTGTGGGCCCACTGCATTAGCGTGCTAATCGCTAGGCCTCTGCTCCCACACGGGCCCAGGCTGAACCGTGCATTTCCTGGCTCTCCATACCGAAACGATGAGCTGTCTTGTCTGCGCGCCGAGCGTAACGTACCAGTGTAAATGTCCACAGAAGCTCTGGGGGGTGGGATGTTTATAAGCTGTACAGCGCTAAGGCTCTGTGTAGACTTTCCCATGAACACATCCCTTGTTTACCACCCTAAATTAAAGCCAGAGCGAAAGAAAATGGATGTGCAGAGAGGATCTTTAGCTGTGCAACTAGGGATTATGGATGTGAAAATATGGGAGGGATCGTACATTGTATCATAATTATATCACATATATCATATAATCGCCAGAAGACCCTGCACTGTTTCATATATAATTGATATAAATAAATTTGATTAAGGAGAAAGCCAATGCTCTTTCCTAACCTACGGTAGAAGCCAAAAGGGCTGTATGCAAAACCTGGTCTGTGATTGGCTCAGGTGTGGCTGTTAACAGAGGGCTGCTAAGTGCAAGCTGCCAATCAGGATTCTCAGAGGCAGGCAGGTAAGCAAACAGTAACCTGATAGCAGAAATGGAAGCTTGGGACGTATTAGTAACAATAAAGCGAACTGTAGTTTTTCATTTGATTACTTAGTGGGGAAATTAAGAGGTAATCTTATACTT